ATTTCACTACATGTTGAACTGTGTATGTGACAAATAAAATCTGAATTTGAACACTAGCATTTGTGAAAAAATGGGTCATTCTCAGCGAATTCTAGAATGGTACAGCTGTGAACCTTTCTTAGTACTCAATATTCTAGAGACAATTATTAGTGGCAAACAATCAGTGGGGATTTTATGTGATGGGTAATGTAAAATAGTGCTCAGATGTTGCCAAGTTTCAGCAGAGTCAATTGTTACAGCCAATGACTTGTCAGATACTTAGACAAATCTGTCTAATCTTCATGTGGCCTCCAGGTTAGCTCAAGAACAATGTGTAGAGAGCTTCATGGAATGGGTTTCCATGGCCAAGCCTTACATCATCAATTGCAATGCAAAGTGTAGGATGTGGTGGTGTAAAGCATGCTGCCAGTAGACTCAAGAGCACTGGAGTGATTAATAACGCTTCTCTGTATAGCAATCTTGCTCTGGTGGTTGCCAGAAAAACTGTATACGACTGACTGTCGAAGAGACTGAAATCCTCAAAGCCTCATCCGCCTGAGTCGGTCTAAATAAGGGGCTTAATGTTTAGCCGTATAATAAAGTTCTGGAATATATAAAATTTGTATGCACTATGGTTATTTTCTTAAAATTCAGGATTATAAATGTAACAAAATAAGTGGAAGTAATCATTCTGTAATGATTCTGAATGAATGAAGTGCAATAGTATCATGAATAGTAGGTGTTTTTGTACAAAGGTCACGATGAACAGTAAAAAAAGGATTTAAGCATGGTGCAACTGGTGTCATTTGGGTCAAAAGTAATTTCAACAGGACTAGGGAAAGGGGAGAGTAAAGTTTGTGAAAGAGTATAAAGTGATGTTTCTCTTAATAAAGAACTGCTCTCCGGATTTTGTAACAAGCAGACGAACCATTTAGAGAGCAAACTCTTCCTCGAAATGGTCCATCTGCTTCGTTTTTAAAGTGAGGAGCACTGAAGGATTAGGCATGGCAAAGCAAATGCCAATCTCCATTTAAAGTCTAATATTGTGGACAATCCTTTTTTTTTTTTAACTCTTTGTGAAGCATCAAAAGTAAAACTAGGGTATGAATATCACATCTCATAATGCTTCTTACAGGTTGTTTTAGCTCTTAAAATTAACAGATCTCTGGGACCTATTTTCCTGGGCACTAAAGTTTAACCTTGCTATTCACCAAGTCCATAGATGACTCAGGAAAACTGATTTTATAGATGTGGCAGTTGAATGCGCCTAGCTTTAAGATTGCTCCTGGGTTGCCTCGTCTGGATTTACGTGAATTTCCTCACCACCAGCTTAGGCTACGTCTACACTAATCCGGATAAATTTGAAAATGGTGTTTATGTCTAGAAACACTCCACGTCCACACTATTGTTTTCAGTTGTTTTCATCCACACTGAAAAAGCTACATTCCTGTACTGCGTATGCATGAAACGTCTGCCGTTTATTTACTTTACGGCTCTTTGAAATGTCGCGGCAAAAAGTCGAGGAAAAGTGCTGAGTTTTATCTGAAGCTTTCTGGAGCATGTAGAAACTTATATTATTCTTTAATAGGGCTGTCAAAATTGAGAGCAAACAAACAACTGCTGTACAATGCC